CTCCTCACTTTCATAGTCCTTCATAACCATTTCATATCTGACGAGTTTTTTTAGAGAATCTTGGTTGTCATCCCACTTAAATTATGAGCTTCCTCAATAGTAGTGTAGATGTTGTTCTAAGTTATGGGAAGAGATCTCAAGATTTTTATCACCTCCTTTACTTAGTGATCATTGTGAAGCCTATAAACATAGACTTAATATCCTCATCAAAATTCATTTTAAAGAATTTATATTGTTGGACAAGTCTATTTATCTCGCTCTTACTCACTTCATTAGTACTCTCATGAGCAACTTCCAATTTATCTCGTATTTCTTTAGCATTCATACATGCACTAATGCAATCAAATTTAGAAGGGTCTAAAGCAAAATACAACGCAGTTTTAAATTTTCTATTTAATTGCACCTTTCTTTCTCAAAATTTTAAAACTCATTAGATCTCTTAGGGACCACCTTTTTTAACCCTTCCCTCTTGTTCTTCATTAGAACAAAGTGGTCATCTCGAACTACCTCCCATATTAGGTAATTTGAACCTTGCATGTAAACCCTCAACCTATTTTTCTAATAGGTATAGTTTGTTCCATTAAAAGAGGAAGATGAGTGATGGATTGTCCTTCAAAAAACAAGAAGTTTTGATCTACCATGGATGTTTAACTCAAAAATGATTTTAAAAATTAAAATTAAAAATTTTAGCCAAGACTTTGATAACATTTGTTGTCCTAGATGATACTAACCCAAGAAGAAGTGAATTGGGTTTTTGAAAATTTATGCAATTTTTAAGTGTAATTTGATGAGCAAGCGATTGCAATCACAAATGAATAAACTAAAGTGTGAAAATTAAAAAAGGAAAGAGAGAACTCGAACATAGTGATTTATAGTGATTTGACACAAGTTATACCTAGTCTACTCCTTAAGCCACTTGCTTGGAATTCATTTCAGATTCAAAGTAGCACCTCCAACTTATGGGTGTAAAGGCAACCATTCATGATAGCTTTATTGACACTGCTCACCTTCAACAACTTAACTCATATTACTAACTCTCATAAACCCAATACTATTCCATAAGGATGACTCTCTAGATCCAACACAAATCTCCAATACTCTCTCACTTTGTATGAAAAAGAAATAAATA